AAGGACAATCGACGTGAATAGGATTTTCTTCTAAATACGCTGCTTTGAGGCGATTGATGCTGATGCTATCGTTGGTTCCGTTCTTATCGATTATATAGTACTTGGATTCGCGTTGAAGAACTTTGAAAGGTCCTTCGTATGCTGATTCGGGAGGTCGTCGATGCGAGTCTCGATGTACGAAGACGTGTGTACTATATCGTAAGTCAGGTTAAACGAAAACATCAGTTGATTGTGGTCGAGTGGAAACAGGTTTTACTGGACGCATTGCGTTTGTAACCCTGTTTGCGTAGGAGGTTAGATCCATGTCCATCGAAGAGGATGTAGGATCCACGAATTCTCCTGGAAGTCGAAGGGTCGTACCATAAACGAGCTGAGACGCAGAGTATCCAATGTCAGCTTTCACCGCATTGCGTATGCCTAGTAAGACGATTGGAAGAGCGTCAGTCTACTGAGAAATGTTTGAGGCTGCTAGTGACGCTTTTAGTCGTCGGTGAAAACGTTCTACTAACCCGTTTGCTTGTGGGTGGTAGGCCGTCGTTCGGAAGCAAGTGATTCCTAATTTCGTGCTCAGACAACGGAAAAGTTCAGATACAAACTGACGTCCACGATATGTAGTGATGGTTGTTGGGCAGCCGAAGTTAGATACCAATCGACGAAGGCGCGGGCCACTGTTTCAGCAGTAATTTCTTTGATGGTTACTGCTTCTGGCCATCAAGTAAAACGGTCTACGCATGTTAAAAGATAAGAATATCCATTTGAATCTGGTAAAGGCCCTACCAAATCCAAATGAACATGGTCGAAGCGAGCATCGGGAGTTTTAAACAAGCCTAGAGGACATTTGTTATGTCTGACCACCTTAGATTTCTGGCAACTTACACAGGAGCGTGCCCACTCCTCACGTCTTTATTCATACCAGGCCAGCAAAACTGTTCTGCTATAAGCTTGATGGTTGCACGAACACCTGGATGAGAAAGTCTGTGCAACGTATTGAAGACGTTGCGTCGATATTGTTTCGGCACGATCGGACAATCCCTACCTGTAGATGTGTCACAAAGTAAGGTTTCCTTACCTGTTCCCTTCTGTTTAATGCGCAGTTTAAGTGTTGTTGAGGCCAACTCATGCTGAAGATCACTGTCTTCTTTTTGAAGTTGGGCGAGTTTTAAAAGGTCGATTCCTTGGAAACCGTCCAAGGAATTTATACGAGACAAAGCGTCTGCAACTACATTGTTTGCTCCAGAAATGTGTCAAATATCTGAAGCAAAATGCGAAATGTACTTCAGTTGTCGAAACTCACGTGGTGAGTACTTGTCTGAAGATGAGCTAAATGAGAAGGTAAGAGATTTATGATCGGCAAAAATGGTGAATTCACGGCCTTCGATATAGTGTTGAAAATGCCGGACAGCACAATACATAGCTAGGAGTTCCCTACCGAATGTGCTGTACCTCTATTCAGTATCTAGCAACCGTCTAGAGAAAAATGCCAAAGGTTGCCAGGAGCGGTTAACCCATTGTTGTAAGACTGCTCCATTTGCTGAGTCGGATGCGTCTACTGCGATGCTAATGGACGCTTTAGGGTCCTGATGAGCAAACATGGTCGTTTGATCGATATGTTCCTTAGCCGTGGAGAATGCTTTTCGCGCGGTGTCATCTAGATTGATGGATTTCGCATTTCCACGAAGTTGGTCGGTAAGACGTTTCATATTTAAGGCACATTTTGGTATGAACCAACTATAAAAACTTACCAGACCGTTAAACGTGCGCAAATGATTGATCGTGGTCGGTTCTGGGTAAGCCAGAATGGCCGCCACTTTTTTTCTAAGGGGTCGGATACCTTGCGCATCGATAGTGTGTCCTAAGAAGTCTAAGGATTCTGTTCCGATTTGGCATTTCTGAATGTTTACGGTAATGCCATGTTTTTGTAGTCAGTCGAAAACAAGGTCCAGATGATGGAGATGTGATTCTCTGTCCAGACTTGCTGTTAGGCAGTCATCAACATACGCATGTACGAAGTTGAGACCTCGAAAAACATCATCTATGAACCTTTGGAAGGTCTGTGCCGCGTTTCTCAGACCGAAAGACATTCGCAAAAATTCATAGAGTCCGAAGGGCGTTATAATAGCGGTTTTTGGAATGTCTTCAGTGGCCATAGAAATTTGGTTATACGCTTTAACCAAGTCAATTTTTGAAAAGACAGTTGCACCTTTCAAGGTAGCTGTCAAATCGTGATTTCGAGGCAACGGGTAACGATCGGGAATGGTTTTTGCATTCAGCCGCCGATAATCACCAGTTGGACGCCAATCGTTGCTGTCCTTTTTAGGGACCATGTGCAACGGAGATGCCCATGGGCTATTTGACGGTCGTATGATTCCTAAGTCTATCATGTGGTCAAATTCGTTTTTCACCAACCTTAACTTTTCGGGGGCCAGTCGGAGTGCTTTGGAGAATACAGGTGGTCCTGTAGTCGTGATGTGATGTGTAACGTTGCTGGTTACACACGGCGATTTTGGTTGCGATTGGTAAATGCCAGAATACTTATGAAGTAGTGGTTGGCAGAAGGGGTCTGTAGTGTCCTTAATAGTGACAGGAGATAACCTGCAACCAGAAAAAGAAGTTAAGCAAACAGATAAAATAATATTTTTATCTACTAGCTTCCGTTTGCGCGTATCGATAATTAAGTTGTGGTGCTGTGGAAGGTCCGTACCAATGATTGGCATAGAAACATCTGCAACAACAAAGATCTAGTGAATGGGTTTGCGTAAACCCACGTTAAGATAAACATACCTTTGGCCATACGTAGCAATAGGCTTTCCGTTTGCCGCCTGTAGATTTAAAACATATTCGTGAAGCCGGTCGTTGGAATTTGCTGGGAGAACGCTAACTTCTACGCCAGTATCGATGATGTAGTGATTTCGCGTTATCACATCAGTGACATATAAAAGACTGCTATGTTCGCCGGCTACGGTCGCCTTTAAGGCGTGCTGGCTTGGAAGTTTCCCGAAACATTTTTCGTGTCGACCGATTTTGAGTTGTGAAAATTGCAGGGTTTTCTGCAATTTCTGGAGGACTTTCCATACTGGTTTTGATACCAGCACCAGTCAGGATTATCCGTCTCTCGAGGTCTAGAGACAGATCGCCTACGTGATGTGCTTCTTCGCGAGGTAAGTGATCGTTTACGGTCGTTACAGAGTTTGAGATAACGAGTAAGTGTATGACATAACTCTGTTATGTCATTCTGGGTGGTTTGAGGCTTTTCTTTGACCGAAAAAACCTCGGCGTTAGATGATCTAGTAATCCCGAGTATGCAGTCGGCAGATGCAACCAGCTCGTCTACGGCGTTGTTTTGGAACGAGACCAGCACAGCTTGCACCTGTTGAGGAAGTTTTGATAAGAAAAGCTGTTTGAATATGCCATCATCAAAGGTTCTTTGGCCAATAACTTCTCTCATTCTTTGCAACATGTCTGTGGCAGAGCCGTGTTGCAAGTCGATGTCGTTAAGGAGTTGGTCTAACCTTTGTTGATGGGTTAGGTTTCCGCGTTTAAGGATGGCATGTTTGAGGGTTTTGTATGGGTCAGAAACATCACTAGTAAACATACTAGGTGTTACGTACCTGTTTAATTCGCGCGGTAGTGCCTTGACTACTGCGAAGAATTGTGCACATGTGTCGTTCACGCCGTACTCGTAGAAGTCGGCTTCTGAGTAGCAAAACCAGGCTTCGATGTTGTTTGGCCAGAAAGGCATAAGTTGGAAGGAAGGTGGGGATACAGTCTTTAACTTAAATACTTTAGGTGTCTGTTCAGTCATATTAATATATCCAAAAACACGGGAAAAAATTATCACAATGTATAAAAAATTAAAATAAGACAATAACATATAAAATCACAAAAAGGAAAAGATTCACAGTTTGCAGTTTAGTGTACCAGATCACGTCGGGCTCACTAATGAAGATGCCATAGGTATTCGGAGTTTGACAACGCTTTAACCAGTAACACCTAATATGGAGCGCACCCACCAAGTAAAATGAAAAGACAGAAGCGAGGAGATGGAAGATATGTTTGATAAGCTATCAATATATCGAGGATCGTTTGCACTAATCTTGCTAGCGATTGCGGCAGATTTGGTGTGGATGCTTGACCGAGCGCCTTCAGCTAGATGAGTCCACTAAAACTGTGGTCAGCATCCAATGTCGTAAACTTACAGAGATATTTATTTTGGGGATTTATTTACCGCTACACTGGTTTCGGACATGGTCGTTGCTGCATCGACCACATATTTACCATTCGTCAGGTCCTCGAACACAAACTTGCTTATTTGCGTCCGACAATGGTGGTCTTCTTTGACTTAAAAGTAGCATATGATTTGTAGACTGAGAGGATTCGTGTTATTGTACCTCAGAAGTGCGTAAATCTCGTGAAGTCTCTTTACTCGAACACGACTAATCGAGTGAGAGCATAGGGAAACCTGACATCTGATTTTGCCACCTCAAGTGGTGTCCGACAAGGCTGTTCACTATCTACATTTTTGTTAAAATTCATCATAGACCTACGCTGGAGAAAACGTTCTTGTCGACTGAGTTTTTAGGAATTCAGCTCCTATCAAGAGGTCCACTTGTCAACCTTTTAGCGACGCTAAAGAGACTTTGGAACGTCCACCTACATACTATGTCTAAATGAGGGTTATAAACCAGTGTGAGGAATAAAAATTAATATTTACAGTTGACAGTTAGGGTTAGAAATTAGATATGGTGTTTTCATCACGAACTGACATCAGCTATAATGCCAAAACTATATTTAGCCTGATGAATGAATTAATTTCGCGTCAAGACATGTTATCGTAAATCTGGTTGATTCATCCATAAATTATAGTCTCGCCTCGGAAACTACGCTCTTTAAAAAGATGGCCTGATTTTACAGGCTAGATGTACAAAATAAAGAGGTTCCGATGTGCTATCCAAAACATATATGTGAGCATTGAATGCTGTTTTCGTGTACTACTGAAAATTGGTAACATGTACGGCGGGACTTCGCACACGTGATGAAGTCTATTAATGTAGTGATTTGTGGTTGTAATCAAATTACAACATCTGTAATAAAGATGCTCAGGAAACATAGAAATGTTAATATAATTGGATACTGGTGTGAGTCTTCGAGCAATCAAATTCATGCAGATGTTGCTGGTATAAAAGTTATTAGTGGGGCTTTTAAAGATCTAATATCGAATAAAGATATACAGTTTTTATTTCTTTGTGATACTCCGGTCAATCAACGCAATCTTGTCTCAATAGTTGATTGCTTGAGCAGAAAACAGTCTTCAGATACAGTATTGCAAGACATCCCTTATATGATTATTTTTCCTCCCGTATCACCTAATTATGATATAGACATGTTGGAGAAAGTCAAAATTCGTGTCGGCTTCGCCATGCCCTTAAGACACCTACCTTTATCTACCCTTTTGTTCACTCATCTTAACTACAATCATAAAGAAATGAAAGCGCTCAGGAATTACGAATTTACTCGACTCCCCACACATTGGGTTTTAGGAACTGTAGAGAGCATCCATATAAGATTGTCCACGGTCAGTTTTGTTGATGGTAGTAAGTACTCGTGGTTATATGAGTCGGAAGATATGGGTGGAGGGCTGCTGAATATGTTCTGTCCAGGTCTTATTGACCTTGTTTATTTCCTTTCTGGAGGGCTTCGGATAACATCAGTTACGAGTATTTGTCGAATATTCGGTAAAGTAACAGGCGATGTGAGTCATCCTATTCGTCGTATCTCTGCAGATGACTATGTCACTATAATGGGCGAACTTGACATACCAGCATTATCCGGATTTCGCAAACCAGTAGTCGTCATGATTCTTTCATCAGATATCCCTTTCCCAAAAAATAGGATGAGTGATCTCCCTGAAGTTCATTTTTATGACAATCATTGTTTCAAACTGGAAATAGAAGTTAGTGGATCCACTGGTAGCTTCTTGATTGATGAAGGCAAAAGGCGAATTTCATGGACACCTCGAAAAGCAGTCTCATCAAAGCCTGGTAAACTTAACAACAAACTAACTGAGTTGGACTACGAAAATCATTTCCATGACAAACGACCTGGAAATATGGAGGAGTCTGAATTTGAAGGAGTGTACACAGAGGACGTATTGGCCAGCGCTATTGGTAGTAACGTGCCTCGAACTCAGGTTCCTACAATGCTAAACGTCGACCTCGATGAAGATGGAATGACGGAAACAGTTCATCTATCACTAAACGTAAGTTACACCAAGTTGTGTTACTAATACTATCTGTTATCATGTTACATCTATTGACCATATGCTTTATTTAGCATCCTGTATTATCTATACTATTCCTTTAAACCAGACTCATTCATCATAGCTGACCATTAAACTGAGGTACTTTGAAGTATTACATACATAGAACTCAATAATAAACCTCAGTGTGTCAGTAATAAGTAACTAAATTCATTTAAATGTTTTCTAAGTTTATAACTAATTGTTACCTAAAACCTCCAGTAAGTTTAAAGCCGTAATCATCATACTAACGAAGAGAGTTGTTCATCGCCACTTTAATGGCGGATCCAATCAATATTCGTAAATAAAAAGTATTTGACGTAGTTACGAAAACTTGCTTAAAGATGCTTACATAAGGTGGAGTTGTGTATGATACAGTAATAATTTCATAACGGTAGATGCCCGAACTTAGAGGCCAACCAATTTGCTTACTTTTGTCTTTCTATCACTGTCAGACATTTTCTTTCGCACAGGACTCATTACATGACTCGGAATCAGTGGAGAGTGCTCAACATTGTTATCTATCCGCAACTGGAGAAGCATGGACAAACTGGATAAGTGGTTTAACCAAAAGCTTTTCTTCGGAGTGGAAGTCATTCGAATCTTTGTCGGCAAGCCCCGGCCATTGGATTTACATTCAGTCAGTTATGCATGCGATAAACAAATCCGCACAACTTAGATGTTGGATCGACGTCCAAACTGGCAAACGCATATGATAGCTTTCGTAATCTTATTGCAGTGAAAATCAGGAAAAATATATCTGACGGCCATACTTTGCAAAACTCAGGAGAACACTCAACATCCACTTATCAAGGGTTGGTCTATGGGTCCAACAAATTAAAAACGGGATTTTTACTCAAGAGTCCTAGAAATCGACTCTGCATTACTAACTGATTTATTACAAAACGCTTGTTTTTTGTGCTTATCGAATAAACGGTTAAATTCAGATATTTCACTTTTGCAAACTGTAAATAAGCTGTAACACTCGGAACCAAAGAGCATTCGAAAATTTTTCCGCTTGTGTTAATTTCGACCCAGTAGGTTCATAATCGTATTATCAATTTGTTATTTTAGTCTGGTATTTGTATTTTTGAAGTAAAGATAAGTACCTGTTGAGTTTAAGTAATAGATTATGCCATATGGCATAATCCGTATATACGGAACTGTATATAAATCGACGTCATTAAAAAGCTTTACAACGTATTCCGAAAACTGTAGATAGCTATTTCATCAGATCGCAACCTAATTAAATCTGTTCAACGTTGAGTGAAGCTTGAATAAGAAAGAGAATTCAGCGAAGAAAATTTTCTTTTCGACGAAATCATTTACTTAAGCTGTACATACATTTTCCATATAACTATATATACGAATGTACAGCTTAAGTAAATGATTTCGTCGAAAAGAAAATTTTCTTCGCTGAATTCTTTTTTCTTATTCAATGACACTATGGGTTATTTTACTTATCTGTTGAGTGAAGCAATTATTATTAAGAGACAAAGTCACAGATTTATTGGAGAACGGGCAAGAAAGGTTCAGATAAAAAATGAACAATCTGCAATAAACGACAAACGTTATTCACATACAAAAGAGAACGGAAAGAAAGTTCTTGTTTATTTATGTCATCCTTAAGTAAAAAAAGATGCACGAGCTCTAAAGAAATCGTAGTCTTAAATAAGCGCCATTGTTAACAGCGTCATTGTTCATTGATCTTTTCTGTCATCGATTTACCACCTAAGCGCACTTCATCCACGTCGAGGTAGGCGACACATTTCGCATTCATCAGTATCAGGACTATTATGAAAAGTACAGTGAGAACAGGCCCAGTGACTAGATTCTGAATTTCGTTGTTCTGTTATTCCCGATGGTGTTGTTGTTTGAGAAGACCAAGTTGATTTGAGTACTGATGTTGGGCCAACTCCTAAAGAAACACTAGAACCACTGAGTGCAGAACGATAGGAATCTGATTGAGTAGGTAATGAAGGACTAGGTGGCATATCTATTTTAAATTAAAAAAAACAAAGCAGTTGAGTTTCTCGTTGATGATCACGTAAAAATCAATCGACTTTGCAATTCATCGCTAGAAGTATTTTGGTAAAAATGCAATATCAAAAACTGACTACAGTCAGTCAGTCAGCTGCAACGTAGGACCAGGCACGTATATGCATCGGTCCAAGTTGCCATACCGCATTAGCACAACAAGATGAACACCGGATTCATAGGAGTAGTTAATTCAGTGGTGGTAATATATAGAAGAAAGATTGTGTATAAGGAGATAGTAAAGAAAGAAAGAATTAGTTCCTAGACAGATATGAAGCGATTTTATTCTCTTAATTTAAGGAAGACAGAGAGTGTATACACCGACGCCATTGTGATCGATTCTGAGCCATGTCACCAAGAGTCTCCAACCATTGGTTACGATAGTCACGCGGACCCCAACCAGGCAGTCTGAATCGCCCAACATGGCTCAGACCAGAAGTTAGTGACTTCAAGCACTGATGCCACGTTTTGGTTTGGCCGCCCCTAACTTTCTTCCAATCATCCCTAACACCGGTTAGCATTGCGCGTCGTGGTAATCGGTGTTCAGGCATACGCAGCACGTGGCCCAACCATCTCAGTCGATGAAGGTTCATAACCTCATCAACTGATTTACCATCATTCCCTAATACCCTGCGTCTAACCTCACTATTACTTACCCGGTGATCCCAGCAGATACCCGCAATATTTCTAAGGCACCTGTGGTCAAATACTAGTAACTTACGAATATCTTCTACTCTTAAAGGCCATGTTTCGCAGCCGTATAGAAGGACGGAACGAACTGCCGCGCAGTATACTCGTCCCTTAATTGATAGACGAATATCTCGCCTTCGCCATAGATGACGTAAGTTGGCAAAGGCCAAGCGAGCTTTTCGAATCCGTGCTGAGATTTCGTCAGACACCAACCCATTAGGGCTGATCAGACTTCCAAGATAAGTGAAGTTGTCAACGCGTTCGACTACTTCACCCCCTATCCTTAGTTCAGGTGTTGACGCAGAACAGTCCTGAAGCAACAACTTGCATTTAGAGGGAGAAAAGCGCATCCCAAACATTCTGGCATTGTTGCTCAGTGCTACCAAAAGACTGTGCATTTCATCAGCGTCTTCACCAAACAGGACTATGTCATCTGCGTATTCTAAGTCAATAAGTGGACCTCCTGGTAGGAGATCAGTACCTGAGAATTCAGTCGATGAGAGCGTTATTTCCATCAGTAGATCTATGATGAAATTGAACAAAAATGGAGAAAGTGGACAGCCTTGGCGGACGCCACTTGAGGTTGCAAAAGCAGATGACAGTTCGCCATAGGCTCTGACCCGACTAGTAGTGTTCGAGTAAAGAGCCTTCACAAGGTTTATGTACTTCTGAGGTACGCCTTTCAATGACAGACACTGCCACAGAACCTCTCGGTCAACAGAGTCAAACGCTGCTTTTAAGTCAAGGAAGACCACTATTGTCGGACGCCGATAAGTATGCCTGTGTTCTAGAACCTGACGAATGGTGAATATGTGGTCGATGCAGCCACGACCTGGTCTGAAGCCAGCCTGATTTTCACGTGTTTGCAGTTCACGAGTCTTAGTTAGGCGTCCGAAAATTATCGAAGCTAGTATTTTAGATATTATATTAGTCAAACTAATCCCTCTGTGGTTGTCACAGGATGATTTTGACCCTTTCTTAAATATTGGGACGATAAGTGATTGTGACCAGTTAGATGGAATAACGTCTAACTCCCAGATTTTAGCTAAAATATTAGTCAACCTAATCGCTAAGACTAGACCACCATCCTTAAAGACCTCTGGGGCCAATCCATCTGGACCAGCTGCACTTCCTCGTTTCAGATTAGCTATAGCCTTTTGAACTTCAGCTAGAGTTGGGGGACCTACTTCAATGTTCCATTCACACTGTCTGGGAATAGAGGGTAGTTGTAGAGTAGCTGAAGGCCAACTGAATTGCTCCTTAAAATGTTCCGCCCATCGTTCTAAACGTCTGGACTGGGAGCAGATGAGAGTGTCGTCTTTTTCCGAAATGGTCTGACTTACACTTGATTTATTAATTCCAGTTTCTTGTCTTGTGTTCCCTATAGCCGCCGCCTTTTCCATCTCTTTTGCTTTCGTTGCCCACCACTGCTCACGATCATTCCTTAGACTTTTGCTTAATCTAGATTTGATTTCTTTACGCTCTTCATCGTATTCAAAACCTGATGGGATGAGTTTGCGAGAATCTATCAGTGCAATAGACCTTGACGAAATCCATTGGTTTTTTGTAACCCTGTGGTTTAAATCACTAATAGATGTCACTGCTGTTTCCACAGCTGCTTGTATAACTTTCCAAGCAACATCTGGGTCAGTCTCGTTTTCAGAACTACCTAGATGTGACCTCAGTTGTTCCTGGAACCTACTTTTGGCTTTCTTATTACTCAATTCGGTTCTAATGAGTCTTTTTTGTGTGGCTCTTTTGCGTTCAGTGAGGCGCAAGCAGATGCGTGCTCGTACTAGGGCATGATCAGAGTCCAAGCAGGTACCCCAGAATGAGCGACAATCTTCTATTGACCCTCTCCAACGATGACTGATGGCAATATGGTCTATTTGAGTCCATCGTTGGTTTGGTGCAGGGGGTCGCCATGTTAGACGATGTCTCTCCTTATGCTTAAAATTTGTGTTTGCTAAAAATAAACGATTGTCTGACCGTTGTTGCTACCTTGACGTGGTGGTCGGGCTTGCCTATCGTGATGAAGCAACTGAGCTATACTGGCTGGAACAACCGTTCCTCAAGGTCCTACCATGCCAGACAGGTCGGTTGAAGAGCGGTAAGACTAAAAGCAACAAAACCAAGGTCCGAAGGCGAAGTCGTACTGCTGACTGTACAGAGGTGTGACAGCAGTAAGGTGTTTCCTTCAGACAACCAGCATGACAGCGATACTGCCTTCCCACAAGGAGGGGTGGGGTTAGAAAAGGTCGACCCTAAAAATGCACACCTCGCTTTATCCCACGGATATCCGTCTCCGGCGGTAAGGACTCAACAAGTACGGAGCTAACACAAAAATCACTCATAAAAAGGTCGTGTGTGACCGACCTCAAGCAGCTGTCCCTTGGGCACTGCGGTCACGCTCTCAGGTCACTATGACCACCTCTAATCCAATTTCCTTTTCAGGTACCTCCAGAAGAACCCTTCCACGGTGTGGGCAACCGGGAAGTGATAACCGCCCTCATACCCCTAACAGCACTCAAGACCACTGTATTCATAATCAACCTCCCTCTTCAATTCCTATTATTCCTCCTACATCGACTTTATACACTAAACTTCCTCTTTTAGCTTCCTCCTCAAGTGTCACCACAGCCAACGATTCTAGTGCTCAAAACACTGTCCCAGGTCTACTGAAACCTCGCTCCAAACTATACATTGGAGCCTTCAACGTACGCACACTATGCCAAATCGGTCAGCAGGCTTCCTTGGCTAAAACCTTAGAATCTCGTACCAAACTGACTACAATCGAATAGTATACTTAAATCATCCCCTGATTCCTATCATGTTCAAGAGATTTTCAAGTTTAAAGAAGTAAAATGTAGATCAGTTGTTAAATGACTTTAATTTGATAGGTAGTTGACAGGAATTTCACGATATAATATAATCAATCATATAGGGCTAGCATACTATTTGCTTGTAGTATTCTACTAGATGGGCCACGGTTAGATAGGATAATTTTAGATTAGCTCAATGGACTAAAATAGCGCATATTTTTGAAAACTTTGTTTATTAGTAAGTATATAAATGTAGCCTAGTTCAAAATATACTATAATTTAAGTACTTCACGTTAATATAGTACACCTAATCTCTCAGTAAATAAAATGACAAGTGTAACATACTATGACTAACATATTGTTTTAAGAATGGATGACATTATCCTGTTACAATTGAAGTGATACTAAAATAAAAAGGCTATATAGCACTCTACAGAGTAAAAATTCATACATATTCATATTATGCATCATATAAGGCTAACATACACATACAAAATCAAATCATGTGGTCGTAAACTGAAACAACTATGCAGTTTAATTAATCTTGTATTAGTTGTTTGAATCTTCTCATTGATGTTTAGGATGGCAATTGGTCCGTCCGATATTGGCATATGTGCACTCTATGCATATCGCCTTGATATTGTCTTAATTCACAAGCATTATGAACAGAGATGTATGCTAGCCACCACCATATAACTGTGCTTATAACTATGCACTTTGTTATCCTCGAAAGTCTGTCTTCTCTTAATAGGATAACCAAGGATTAGGCCTGACAGCTAAGTCTTAAACGAATGAACAGTTGGTGGCCCAAAAAATTAACTCTGTTCAATCGCTTACAGATACTTTGTCATGGTATCTTTCGTATTTATACTTTGTATATAAGCATGTCACTTAATGCGAAAAATTTCTATTCATCTGGCTTATGGTTATATTCATTTCTATCTCATGAGTAGTCATTATTCGGCTACACCGTATCACTACATATTGTCTATCGATTAGCACATACTCTACTTTCGTTTTAACAATCGAAAATTTGTTTCTCCAGTTATTAAAATTTTCCACTTAAACAGATATTATGCCCATATGATTAGATCAAAGTAACTTACCGGAAACAACTGCATTAGCTAACTCTTGTACAGTAGCCCAAATTGGTGATTCACTAGCCCATTTCTTAACAGCTAATTCGTATTGTTTTATAGAATTATTATTATTATTAGAACAACGTAAAGCAATTGCATCCAATAAACCAATGATTCCATATGGATCTTCATTTAATTTACTTTCAGAGTTCAAAAGTTGTAAACCAAGTGTATCATTGTTAACTAACCATGCAAGTATATGAAAATTAGTCAAACATGTATGAATTTGATCAACTCCAAATTTATGAAGTACACGAGCAAAACTCGGAATATCCTTTGCAGAAAATAAATGCAAGATGAGAATGGATATTTATTTATAAAGTGTGGAAAAAGGTAGCAAATAAACAAATAGATAAACATTTCCTAAATAAATAAGAATTGGAAAACAAAACAAAGATGATAATTGACCGTAGTACTTAAGTTTACGAACAAAGAAATTTTAAATAAACAAATATACACATTATTATTGGTAAGGGTTCGTGGTTTCCCATTGATTACATTCAGAACTGTTCCTATTCTGAACAAATTGTCTCGATTTAATGGTACATCAATAGTTGTGATCTATTTTAGCATATGGTTGACAATGGGATTTAGTACATGTGTTTCATTCTGTTTAGGGCTTTACAGCTGGATGTTACTGGTATATTTCAGTGTAAATGTTCAAAATAAGATTTGAACTTAGCAACTGCTGCTGCAAACGTTCAACATATTGAACTACTGAGTCAAGATGGAAAACTCTCATCTGCTCCCAGTCCAGACGTTTAGAACGATGGGCGGAACGTTTTAAGGAGCAATTCAGTTGGCCTTCAGCTACTCTACAACTACCCTCTATTCCCAGACAGTGTGAATGGAACATTGAAGTAGGTCCCCCAACTCTAGCTGAAGTTCAAAAGGCTATAGCTAATCTGAAACGAGGAAGTGCAGCTGGTCCAGATGGATTGGCCCCAGAGGTCTTTAAGGATGGTGGTCTAGTCTTAGCGATTAGGTTGACTAATATTTTAGCTAAAATCTGGGAGTTAGACGTTATTCCATCTAACTGGTCACAATCACTTATCGTCCCAATATTTAAGAAAGGGTCAAAATCATCCTGTGACAACCACAGAGGGATTAGTTTGACTAATATAATATCTAAAATACTAGCTTCGATAATTTTCGGACGCCTAACTAAGACTCGTGAGCTGCAAACACGTGAAAATCAGGCTGGCTTCAGACCAGGTCGTGGCTGCATCGACCACATATTCACCATTCGTCAGGTTCTAGAACACAGACATGCTTATCGGCGTCCGACAATAATGGTCTTCCTTGATTTAAAAGCAGTGTTTGACTCTGTTGACCGAGAGGTTCTGTGGCAGTGTCTGTCATTGAAAGGCGTACCTCAGAAGTACATAAACCTTGTGAAGGCTCTTTACTCGAACACTACTAGTCGGGTCAGAGCCTATGGCGAACTGTCATCTGCTTTTGCAACCTCAAGTGGCGTCCGCCAAGGCTGTCCACTTTCTCCATTTTTGTTCAATTTCATCATAGATCTACTGATGGAAATAACGCTCTCATCGACTGAATTCTCAGGTACTGATCTCCTACCAGGAGGTCCACTTATTGACTTAGAATACGCAGATGACATAGTCCTGTTTGGTGAAGACGCTGATGAAATGCACAGTCTTTTGGTAGCACTGAGCAACAATGCCAGAATGTTTGGGATGCGCTTTTCTCCCTCTAAATGCAAGTTGTTGCTTCAGGACTGTTCTGCGTCAACACCTGAACTAAGGATAGGGGGTGAAGTAGTCGAACGCGTTGACAACTTCACTTATCTTGGAAGTCTGATCAGCCCTAATGGGTTGGTGTCTGACGAAATCTCAGCACGGATTCGAAAAGCTCGCTTGGCCTTTGCCAACTTACGTCATCTATGGCGAAGGCGAGATATTCGTCTATCAATTAAGGGACGAGTATACTGCGCGGCAGTTCGTTCCGTCCTTCTATACGGCTGCGAAACATGGCCTTTAAGAGTAGAAGATATTCGTAAGTTACTAGTATTTGACCACAGGTGCCTTAGAAATATTGCGGGTATCTGCTGGGATCACCGGGTAAGTAATAGTGAGGTTAGACGCAGGGTATTAGGGAATGATGGTAAATCAGTTGATGAGGTTATGAACCTTCATCGACTGAGATGGTTGGGCCACGTGCTGCGTATGCCTGAACACCGATTACCACGACGCGCAATGCTAACCGGTGTTAGGGATGATTGGAAGAAAGTTAGGGGCGGCCAAACCAAAACGTGGCATCAGTGCTTGAAGTCACTAACTTCTGGTCTGAGCCATGTTGGGCGATTCAGACTGCCTGGTTGGGGTCCGCGTGACTATCGTAACCAATGGTTGGAGACTCTTGGTGACATGGCTCAGAATCGATCACAATGGCGTCGGTGTATACACTCTCTATCTTCCTTTAAACTAAGAGATTAAAATCACTTCAAATCTTTCTTTCTAGGAACTAATTCTATCTTCTTGTACTATATCCCTAAACACACTCTTTCTTTTATATATTACCACCACTGAATTAACTACTCCTATGAATCCGGTGTTCATCTTGTTGTGCTAATGCGGTATGGCAACTTGGACCGATGCATATACGTGCCTGGTCCTACGTTGCAGCTGACTGACTTAAGATGGAAACCAACTTGTCCGATGATTATGGACGAATGAGGAAGAGGTTTCATTTATTATTTTTTTGCTGTTATTTAAGATTGAAACTGATCAAACTCTGTTAATATATGTGTAAGCTGAGTACATTGTCTCGATATACCATTATATCACATATTTTAATATATTTAGTATAAGACAAAACATGTGTTTTGAATCTCAGTGTTACCTATATAACAAATAAAATAAATATATAATTTTCCTAGGATACATACGTAATAGTGATTTAAATTGCTCTAAAGTATACAACTTTAAATCAATAGGTTAAAAGTTTACAGATTTCGTTTCCATCCCTACTTTGATCATATTAGACGAGTAAGCTTACTACCAATTGCGAGCAACATTACATGTTTAAAAAAAACATAAGGCTCTTCATCTACGCATACACGAACATAAACTATCAACGAGTCAAAGTGATCTATTCTTACTGATATCAAAGTACGTACATAAAAATAAATAGGAATTCCGTTAGAAAAACATGTAAATTTTAGATTGAGGACTATTTAAGATTTTCAAAAGTACGACATTTAAATCAATGGACACATTATTATGGATTCAATCTATCAACAGATTAGGAAAAAAAACCCAACCGAACAAGACATTTAACATAAATCCATGGATAAACGAACATAAGAAAACTTACTAAGACAATCAAACACAGATAAGGGAATCAGTATGAACTGATTTAATGCTTATGGAATAATAAGAAAGATAAATTCTATATAGATTAGGACATCAGTTTTATTTAGAACAATAATAAAAGTTTCCGAATGAAACTGTATTAGCTCAGAGAGAATACAATATCAAATTCATGAACACTTTTCCACAATATGAAGAAATGTAAAGTTAAAAAATAGAAATATCACCGGAAAAATTTTATTCCAGAGTATTTTTTTTTCTTTACTAGAGTTTTTTTTATATTCTAGTAAAGATTAAATTACGAATAACTACTGAGACCTATTAATGGACCAATATTCTATATATATTCCTATTGTATAACTAACTATTCAGTAACTAGATTATGTATATCTATATTCCTCTTATCATAAGCTTCATATTGTACGACTTACTGTTGTTAAATTATTTTCAGTCTATTGACTATAGTCTCCCACGTTCACAGCCACTTTTTGGCCTGATATTATATAAATGTTATTTCCTATTTTATGGTACTATGTGGTCTGTTTGGTTGATAATATAAACCCAGTATGTCTGAAATAAATGATTCGCATAGTGGAGGCTGCTATCGGCATTCTGGACTCAACTGGACGGGTTAGGCGAACAAAGAACCAATAAGGACACTAAGCTGATCAGACAGGTCAAACGTCATTGTTTTAGCACAGTATGAGTGAATAAATCGTATTTTGATTGGCGAATAATTTACGTGATAACTAGCCGGACTTAAAGTCACAACAAGTTTCCTATTGTATTTTTAATATAAGCTGTTTTAATTATAGAAGAAAATAAAATAAATACAGTTTCGCTTAACCTGTTTATTCAATTCCCAATTACTCCGTTCAAAATCTATTTCAACCTGGTATTTTCATTTATCAAGTATAGCTGTATATATGTACTCGGAGTTTTAGAGTACGCAGGTACAACATGGAGGTTAGTGATACTAATACTATTGGATTGAGCTAAATTGAATTGAACAAAGCTATGTTAGAGTCTGTAATTCAGTAGTATAAGCATTAGGTTATCGCTCCGTGACCATTTCAGTATTAAGACGACTGGATAGATGCCGAATTGCAATTACTGCATTTTTTAACGCTCGCTTATGATAAAAATACCACTGTTATTCGTGCTTTCAGTTGTATAGACCCCAGTACATCAATCGATCGCTGAGTAATGACCAATACTATGTTTGTGTGTTGATCAGATTCTGTCAATCAATTTGCAATGTAGCCACTAGTTTACGTGGCTGAATATCGTGTGAGCTATGTTTAGATGTTAGGATAGTCGGATGTGATCAACAGACTTCATTGTACTGGCCACTTGTCACAAAGGTTTATATGTAATCCTTAATGAACTGCTGATTCCTGAAAAAGTCAAACACCGGTCACCAAGCTCCCCAGTCTGAGACTGTTACCTTTGAGTGATTTGGGCTGTATGACCTTATTTATTTATATGAACAGATAAATATTGGTACAAAAGGGAACCGAATACATATGCGCCACACAAGTTACTTGATTTGTGTGTGGGCTATGATACTACTCGGGTGCCGAAACCGAAGCAGGTGGTCTTCATAGAGGCCCACACTCCGAGCCTTCGACAGTGGAGCAACGTCAGGAGATGCAGTTCCATAATAGCCGGTGACCAACAATCGGTCCATACGCCATTTGTTCCCTCAGGATCCTGAAGCCCATGTGCATCCTTGGGTTTGGAATCAGAGTTTTCCAACTCCCCTAGGTGGATCCCTCGTGTTCACCAACCCGCTTAAAGAGCCGGATATTCGATTTCCATCCTCCGCCTCGAGAACATAGTGCGTAGGATTTCCCTGCAAAGGCTGTATACGCATGGCCATGTGAGAGCATTTCAAGAGGGAGTGAAGACTCTCTCCACCCTCGATCGTACCAGGGCCTTCGTGGGCGTTGCATGACTTACACTACTATCAAACCAATGATCAGTTAGATTCACCGAAATATGATTTAATTTTATCGGTGATACAATCCCAACACCAGTTTGACCTGTTCCAATTTATGAAGCTTCTGTTGGACAAAATTAATAAACTTTAAGAAATAGTTTATATGGGTACTGAAAAAACTAGTATCATGCATGAACTATTCGTTCTAATCTTGACGAATATTTGTACAAATGGCATGAACTATGTCTAGTATAACATGTAGCATGTGATTTATTATAACCTTATGTATTTTTCATATATGTAATTTCATCCTAATTATGAATTAAAATAGGGTATACGAATCAATATATAAATTAGTATATTTCCGACTAGTGTTGTCGTCGTCACGTTTTAGGGTCAATAAATCTTCACTTGTACACCAGTCTTTGTGTTCTTACTTTCGCGTCATGGGAATGGCGATGATTCCTAATTTTTACAAGTATAAGTGATTCCAACATAAAAATCAGCGACAACCAGATATATCAATTGGTGACGCAGTCATGACAGTTGACCACCAGTCATAACAATTATTGATTAAGATGGTCTACACGGTCGAAACATGTGGTAAATAGGTATTTTACTGTGATAATAGACGTACTTAAAGATTGTTGAAGGACATGTCTTCGAATATTACATACATATACAGGTGTATATCAACATACATTTTGTGGTACATGAAGTTAGCAATTAATATATTAGTGTTCGAACAATACATATTTGTGATCACTATTACTATTAAGATAGTAAGTTTATGGGAATGAATGCATTTAGTGATAGTTTTAATCATGAACTGTGACATCAACTGCGGATGCATTAAAAAGTAATGGAACACTGCATTGGACAAGTAGTTTCGTTATGGTCTAGAAATATGTTCAGGAATGACTGAAATCGGAAGTATGTCATAGTATCTATGTCCGAATGGTATTGTACTGATCATGTGTATCTGACGAATCGAGGATGCTACAGAGAAGTCCAATTCTCTCTAAGAGTTCAGTTTACATCATGGATTGACCTTAGCCAGATGACTTTTGAAAATCAGAAACCAATAAAACTGGTTTGTCCTAGCATGAGACTCTACAGAAGTATACACCTGTGACCTCAACGGGTATTAAACGAAGAACTATCAGCTTAGACGAAGAGAGCTTAACCTTTGCAACGCTGAATCAGCATCTAGTCGTTCACATCACGAACTTCAATAGAATCGCAATTTTACTAAACCCAATGAGATACCATAATCAATAGAGTTCAACCATGTAGAGTACTAGACAGTTACCCAACAATGGCATCGGAAGATGGTTATGCAATAAGGCGGACTCTTAAATTGTCATTATTGTTATTGTTACCCACAAAGCGAAGAGTTTCCAAATGGATCTACAATTGATTCACAAATAATCAACTTCTGATATATATATATATATATATATATATATATATATATATATATATATATATATCAGAAGTGGATAAACAAACAAATTGAACAATTTGTTCGTTATGGTTATTCGTCATTTGCCAAATGATTATAAAATACAAACCGGATCAATATTCTTAACAAAAAAAAACACGTAAACTAATCAGCCAATAAGATGCCAAGCAAGACATAGTAACGTAACTTAGAAATGAATACAAAATGCATGCAAAACAATTTCCTTAGAGTAACAACAATAATAAAAGTGGAAGGCATTTTTTAGGTGTGTTTATATATATATATAGCAGTGTTTATGTTTTCTTGGAAAAGAGAAAAGAATGCTTTATCTATTTTTACTAGTAAGATAGACATTTCTAAGAATAAGCCATTTCCTTTTATATTAAACTATACAACATAAATTAATTGAATTAAGGCAATGGAGACAAACATAATTATATAGATGGTTAATTAATCATAATAAAAAATAGTAATCTGTAATTGAATACTAATAATTAAATTAATTAATAAACCAGAACAATTACTGATCACCTTTCACATAACAATATTTAAATGATGGTCACCTAGATTATGTAAAGTATCACGGTGGGTTCGAACCTAGGGTATTATGGTTGGAAGTTAAGTTATCTTAACAACTAGAGCATAGTTTAATTAGTATTTAAGTATATATACAAATATAGGAATAAGAATATTTGTTTGTTATACATATATAAATTTTCTCCCTGATGAAACGGTAAATCATAAGTGAAACTTAAATACAACTTGTATTTTATGTAGTATAGTGCATGTCCTATACACTATTGATGAAATGTATGTATTTGCTCTGTTGTAATATATATATCATTAAAAATTTGATCAATTTAGTTGGGATAATATATGTATCCTGTATGAATTGTATACATCATATTAGTTATTTTGTCCCAATCAGGTAATTACACCTAGTAGATTGACGAGTCCCATATAAAACGAAATATATCTTAGATTTCATTGAAAGATACTATTACATTCATTCTAGAAAAAACAGATTTAACGTTAATTCACTTGGTATTGTTTTACTTGAATCTTTCCATTGATGTTTATAATGCTTGTAAATTAAGACAATATCGAGGCAATACACATCTTATGCATATATGCCAATGAGAGACTGATCAATTACAGTCCTAAATATCAATGGGAAGATTCAAGTAAAACAATACCAAGTGAATTAAACTTCACCCCATTGCACAAGCAAGTGGCTATTAGGACTCAGTACCTAAGTGGATAACGCGATGGCGTTTGAAGCGGACGGTACTGCTTTCGAGTTCCAGAGGGAACATCAACTCTGAGATGCAGGTACATCCGGCCGACAAGTTCCAAGTAAGACGAAACGCGCGTTCTGGATTTCACTGATAGCCACTATTCATCTTCGTTTATAAGATTTAATGTTAGTTTTCTAGTCTCCTATAAAGACAATAAGTTAAAACCAACAAAAAAGAAGTTGAGACAAATTTAGGTAAGATAAAAATTGTTCACCGGTGAATAGTTCTGATGAAAATATTAGACTGGTCAATATATGGAGACGTTATTGTTAACTTGAACAACACCAAGTAGAAATGTTTAAAATAATAATAGTAAACTACATTCATAATTTCATTTGAAACGTTAAACTATCATCATCAAGAAAAACAAAGACAAGTATTGCATAAATATAGGCAATGATTAATTTCAGTATTTATTGAATAATTTACTGAGAGGAATACTAGCAACAGGGATTAGAGATTGCAATCATATATATATATATATATATATATATATATATATATATATATAGGACTTACTTGAACTTGACCTAAACACTCACGATTCTCAATTGGAAATTGAAAATCAGCTGGAAAATCATCAGGAAATTTAGCCATTGTATAAAATGGTTCAATTGGAAAAGCTGTTGGCATATTTGTTAGCAGAAACTCAACTGGTAAAGGACGAGCTACACGTGTAACACGATTACCATATTTATCCTTGGTCTAAGGATTTAAAACATTATAGGAGAGGGGAAAATATATATGTAAGCGGTTAAAGATTGGTTCAAAATATAAACAAAAGGTGAAAAATAATATGCATAACATTTTGAAGGTCCTACATAAATAAAGGATTAGTGGTAATGATCTCCTTAATCAAGGAGCGTGATTGTAAAACCCAAGAAATAACTGGTTGAGACGGTTCTCATGTCTTTATAGTGAGTGACTTTTGTTGTATTAACATAGCACTTTTCAAACCTTACAATTGGTACCGCAAATCCATCCGGTCAAGTGAGATGACTTGTAACATGGCTAATAATCAGGTCTAACACTTAGGTCGTAATTGGTTAGAAGATGAGCGATCAACAAATTGATTTCCTTTGATCGCATGTGACATTTCATCATGTTTGTTTTGTATTCATACTGTAAATATAAGTATATTATTTTACTACATAAAGATCTATTCATATGGTCAGTAACTTTTATTGGTTTTTAATTATTTGGGGGCTTGAGTCAATAATTGAGTTAGCAACCATCAATCTGACATACTTCACATCATTGCGTTTAGTTATCAATCAGCATTTGATTCAAACAATCAGTAACTCGCACAACAATAATTAAGAACCGCTTTCCAATACAATAAGTCAATGATTCCTGATAAATTGTCTTATTTGTGGGAAGAAAGCATTGTAGGATGAAACATATATATTCCACTTTTTATCTTCTTAGTTCCTATAAATTTGAAATGTTTTCTTTTTGGTTTATTTTCTTCCCTATTAGTTTGTCGTAAGTGTTGTGTTTAAACGGGTTATGTCTAAATTCGATGTCTAAACGCTTGATTGAAGCGCTTGATACATATAAGAGCAGTCTTAGATGGTGGTTGGAGGTAGTCAACAGGAAGATCAGTTTTCTCCAATTTCACCAAAAACCTTAAGAACTTAGTTATTGAACTTAATTGTATATGAGATAGTAACTTATTGTTAAATGAGAAAACTCGAAATAACAAATTTTTATATGATTTTCTTACTTTCAACTTCATTATCTGTCGTTAACAAGTATGATAGAAACATAGTAGATTATTTAGGTATCATTACCGTGGTTTGATTTGATAAGTTCGAATAAATTGAGCATTGGGTAGATTGTTATAAATAAATTAATATATTTATTATATCCCAATGAGTAGAAAAATTATTGATTATTTATTCTTTGAAGAAGTGGCTTACATTAAGTCACGAAACGTCAGAACATTTACTTTTTCTACTCATTGAGATATTACAGATATATTAATTAATTTATAGTAGATTTTTGTTTATGAAATTAAAGTGAACTACCCATTTAACAAGTACATTGTTATGTAATCCAGTCTTTGTTCAATATAACTTTGTATGAAGGTTAGTAATACAATTTGGTTGTTCAAAATATTTAAAAGCATATAAAATAACCTTTTGAGAACTAACCAACCAAATTAAAATAAATAAAACTTGAAATTAGACCTATTCAAAAGAATAAAGAACAAATTCCTTCTATCACTATCAGAAAAGGATTTTATGGATACTATAGTAATTTAATAGTTAAGTTTATGAGTCAATAAAAGCTAGACCACCATGGAAAATCTTGAAGCATTATTAGACGGCTGTTTCATCCTATTGTGGGATTACTACTACCACCACTACTACTATGGTGTGTGCTATTTATGTAGACATAAGTGGTATATGATGTTAGTCGTGAACAGAATATCTGGCAGCAAGAAGATCGAACAGTGAAAAATGAAAACAGAACGCAATTTGTATGAAAATGCATGAACAAACGAAATTTCAGTCTTTTGAGACAATTGATGGACATTTTACAAATTGACCATTTACTATATGGTTGTTAGATTTTACTAACGAGTTCTGTAATTTGTTGTCAAATACATTCGATTGTCCCTACTGGTATTCTGTCCACTACACTACTACTACTACTACCACCATCACTACTACTACTACTACTACTACTACTACTACTACTACTAATAATAATAATAATAATAATAATAATAATAATAATGACAATTATTAATATTATCATTATTTTAACATACATCAATGCAACTTAGAAAACAAAAATCAATTTTTGGTAGTTTATTAATCACATATTTAAAGGTCATAGAAAAATGTTTTTTTTGGATGGTAGGTACATACTTGAAATAGTGTGAATTATTTAAATCAAATATGCATAACATAAAACTTAACAAGACAAAAAAGTTAATTCATGTACAATCAAATCAGTTGATAAATAAAGCCAGGACTAGTTGAACTATGAATAAATAATTAGTATGAGATTAAAAAAAATAGAACAATCATATTGTTCTGTGCTTAATGTATATAAATATATATATATATACCATGCAAATTATAGGGTGAGAAAAATCTATGTTCAGTTGTTATAACTTATGATTGAGATATATTAGTTATATAATATACCTTTGTGGGCCAGGGTAATTTTACATTAATTTTCTGGAGAACCAGACACTATCCAAACTTTCACGTGACAACCCAATCAGTATAGCCCCAAATGCTCTGGTACGGTCAAGGAGTGCGGAGAGTCCACTCTCCCTTTCGAAATACTCTCACATGGCCACGCGTATATAACCTCTGCCAGAGAAGTCCTACTCACTGCCTTCACGTGGCACCGGTGTTGTTTACGAAAATGAAAGGACGAAAAGCGAATTTCCGGTGCTTTAACCGCATCTCAATCCAATGGTGCACATGGGCTCCTGTATCCTGAGGAAACAAATGGCGTATGAACCAATCGTTGGTCACCGGCTACCATGGGACTGCATCTCCTCACGATGCTCCACTGCCTTGTGGATCAGGCGTTCAGGTCGAAGGCTCGGGGTGTGGCCCCCTAAGAAAACCACCTGCTTCGGTTTGGGCACCCGGTTAGTATCACAGCCCTCACACATATCAATTGATATCTGTGTGGCGCGTATATATTTGGTGCCTCCTTGTACCAATATATATGTGTTCAAATAAATAAATAAACAAATATACAGCTCAATCCCGTTTAACAGGAGAGTCAGACACCGCCCAAGCTTAAGTTTTATAACTCGAGCAATACAACTCAATTCCGCTTTACAGGAGAACCAGACAGTGTATAGGCTTTAACGCTACAATATGAATAGTATAGCTCAATCCTGTGACGCAACCACATAAGTACAAAGCACCCTGGTGGACCAATGATTGAAGTTTAGTTAAGCTGTGTGATATTTCATTGATTTCATGAACCGATCTATATTAAATCATTATTGAAAACCAGGAAACAATGGAAAATCCTTTTTATTCTGCTATAGGCCTCCTCAGAAGTGCATAACCATCATTCCATCCACACACACCGGATTTAAACCTAGTTCACCATTTCAATGGAATTTAACAACCTTCAAAACTTCAAACTGAAAATTACATGATAATTATTCACTTAAGTACAACAATTTACGGTCGATTCCAATGAGAATGATTACAATAGTGAAATCAATAGAACAATCATATCCCCGAAACTTCATAGGAAGTAGGTAAGAGTATAGAAAAAGTGATATTTAATTAGATAAGTTAAATTAGTACAACTGTACTAATGTACAATAAACAAGAACACTAATTTTGGAAAATACACCGTAAATCTAATAAAATAAGAGTAATATATTAATTATTATTATTAGTAGTAGTATTGGGAAGAACAAAAAGACTCATCTACAAATTAAAAAGGAAAACAATACTTACAGTTATATTTACGAGTACGAATTTAGCAACTACTAATAATTTTAATAATTGAATTCATGAGTCAATTGAAGCTAGACCACCATATAAAACCTGAAAATACTGGACGGCCATTTCGTCCTATTGTGGGACTTCTCAGTAGTGCACATCCACGATCCCGCCTCCCACAAGATTCAAACTCAGGATATATCGATCTCGTACGTAGACGCTTAAACTCTAAGCCACTGAGCCGGCATCCAATGGTTTTAATATCTAACTTCAACTAATCTATGAAACTAAGCGAAACATCCACCATTGTTTTTAGCTAAAAAAGATGTAATAACTGTTTTAACATTATTACAGTATTGAAGAAAAAAGATGGAAATGTACACTAATAAACTCTACAAAGTAATCGTTTATATACATATAACATAATTTAAAAGAAAACAGAAAAGATGGAACATATGTCAGTGAACAAAGGAGGAGAAGTGAAACATTGATATGTAATAACTATGAATTGTTGGTAAAAAATAAAATTTTGAAGGATATAAATTAAGAATTTTATCTGTAAAACAAAATAAAAAAGAGGGCATTTTGTGAGAGAGAGAGGTGGGGAAGTTAGGGTAGACGAGGCATTCTGCATAATGATAAAGAATTATGCGGATAATTTGAGATATGTGATGGTGGTCTAGCTTAAATTGACTCATGAATTCAACTATAAGATTATGAATTCATTTAGTTTATGCCTTGAATATTATCCATAAGAATGATAGTGTCAAGATATCTATTTATTTCTAGGGTATTAAAGAAAAGATTTACACTATTAAAAATTTGTAAATAAATCAATATATACTTCTATGAACATAGATAACAGTAAATTTAAGTAATGTGTTTAATTAAAGAATATTTTGACTAGAACTTTTTTTTCGTTTCACAATTACTGATAAACTTTTGAATAGAACTATCAAATAACTTGAGGATTATTTATGTTATAACTTGTGAATTTGTGCACCTATCAATGTACAGTGTAATGGTACCTCCAATTAGAAAACAGTGATTTATTGACTGAACCAATGACGCATAAAACACGCGGGAGCAGTTTAGAATACTTATCGGTCCTGCTTCCTGCCTAGCTCTGCCTGTTAAGTCCAGAACATCAATCTCAGCCTCTGCAATATGAATCGTTTATTTCAAACATACTCGATTCATATACCAATCAAAGAGACCACATCGTACCATAAAATAGGAAACAAAATTTGTACAAGATTTAGCCAAATGTGTGGTTGTGAATGTGGGAGATAGTAATTAATAGACTGGATATAACTCAAGAATAGTAAATTGTATAACAACAGTTCATAGGTCAAAATAAAGCTCATAATAAGAGGAACACGATTATGAACAGTTTAGTTACTTAGGAATTATACGATAAAAATATACGTATAGTATTGGTCCAAAAATGGATCCTAAAAGTTAAATTTTTAAACTGAAACTTATCACAGAAAATTTTAACTACTGAGTGTTAGTAAGTAGTAAAATTCCCCGACAAATATTATTGGACTAAACGTGACTATTGTAATGGTTTTAGGTGATCAAGACATATGAAACCAGATTTAAACAATGGATTTTTTTTCTCTAATATACATACTAAAACCAATTAATGAAGATAACGAAGGAAATTTCAGAGCACTCAGTGAAATATATATAGAATAATCAAGGAAAGAAGAGGAACTAACATGAGAAAAGTAGTGGGGTGATTAAAACATTGAGAAAAGTGAAAAATGATTGGTTCAAAGGATTTATAGCACTGAAAGAGGTTTCACCGATTAGGCTCAGTGGTAACAATTTCAACCCTTGTACTATAACCAACCAAAAAATGAATAATGCTCATTTACCGTTTCAGTATTTGTAAACTATACGAAACAAACTACTCGATCTGAATACTAAATTTAAAGCGATTTCTGATAGCAAGTTTAAATCCATGCAGCAAGACAGTTCACATATAAAAAGATAGAATTAACCAGGAATTACCGATAGCACACAGAAGTTTACCTAACGAATATATACATATATAATGGTTAATTTTAAACCGTCTAGCTTTAAGTCTTAACCCATTATTATTATTATTATTATTATTATTATTATTATTATTATTATTATTATTATTATTATTTTAACACATAGGTATTGGTACAAGGAGGCACCAAATACATACGCGCCACACGAATCTCAATTAATTTGTGTGAGGACTGTGATACTAACCGGGTGCCCAAACCGAAGCAGGTGGTTTTCTTAGGGGGCCACACCCCGAGCCTTCGACCTGAATGTCTGATCCACAAGGCAGTGGAGCATCGTGAGGAGATGCAGTCCCATGGTAGCCGGTGACCAACGATTGGTTCATACGCCATTTGTTCCTTCAGGATACTGGAGCCAGCCCATGTGCACCACTGGTTCGGGATCCGGTTACAGCGCCGGAAGTTCGCTTTTCGTCCTCTCATTTTCGTAAACAACACCGGTGCCACGAGAAGGCAGTGAGTAGGACTTCTCTGGCAGAGGTTATATACGTGTACCATGTGAGAGTATTTCGAGAGGGAGAGCGGACTCTCCCCACTCTCGGCCGTACCAGGGCGTTTGGGGACCCCATCATTTGTAGAATATCCCATGATAACAATTGGTTGAATAAAGTTGGGATAGTGGTGGAATCCACGATAGGCGTTCCGCTCAACTTGGGATTAGTCAGTTGAATATATAACTACTAAATTCGAGCGTTAGTGTTCACACTAAAACTTGAATCCCGATATTTTCCCTTCAAATAATAACTAACGATAAGAAAAATCACATGAGCCCCTACAGACAAAGTTAGAATTGTTTCCTTTTTATTTGGCGAAAACAAAATTAAACGAAACACACATACCGCATAAAACACCTCCGGAACGAATTGTTCTTTTGTAGTTTTTTTTACATAACCTAATTCAGGTGCATCATATGTTGGTACAAGAATATTATCTTTCACTAACGCCATAGCTTGATTACTAACTTGATAAGCTTCAAAATGTATATGATTCGATGCATCACCAGTAACAACAACCGTGGTAAATTTAGAACCAAAACATCCATCAGGACTCAGACGACAAATGTTTGGATGGAGATTTTGTAGATGAGCAGCAGTTATACATTCTTCAGCACTTAAAAAGAAAGTGTCCTGTTGAAGTAGAGAAGAGAAAAGAAGTAATTCTAAATCATGTATGAGAATAAGAGAAACAACTAGCAAAAGAATACAGTTGGACAATGTGAGAGAAAATCACTGATTACGGTTCATTTTTTGGAATGGTCAAAGTGTAATCTATTAGATATTTTGTGAGTAAAAATATTCCCTCAGATATGAATCACTACTAAATAAAGGTATTTCAATTATGAACAACAAAGCTGTTCAAAAGTTACGTGTTCGCACCGCAAACCGAAGGATTTGGTTTTAACCTTTGGTAGGGTGGTGGATGAACGCTGTTAAGAACTATCATAGTTAAATGATACGGCTATTTAGAGCTCCCTGATTTTCAAGGTTTGCGCACCTAAGATTCTTCTGTAATGTAAACTATATTTTTATGACAAGTTTACACTTGATGATTAATTGCACTATAGTGGGGCAAAAATGCGACTTAAAAAAACGTAATATACTGATTTTATTATGCATAAAGAGATGAAAATCGTTTTAAAGTAATCAGTGTAAAAAGGAATAAAAAAGAATTTATGATGAACATAAGTTATTAATTAATAATGGTAACTCATTTATCAAGAGTATAAATGTACGTACACGAATTTTAGTAACACATTATCGCTGTCTCATGGTCAGTTCTTGTTGTTAATCGGTTCAACATACACCACTTACTTCTTACTGTTACCATCAACATAAGTTTAATCAAAACCAATGAACTACTATGATTGTTCAATCATAATAGTCCTCAAAGAGACGTTTTAAATTATGATATTACAGTTGAAATACTACCATACACCTAACTTAATAAATATGTTTAGAAGGTTATACAGTTACAGATATATCGAGAAGCAAGAAAAAAACCGTTTTTTATTGCTATGACCTGATACGGCTGAGAGTAGGGAGAGCCCACTCTTCCTCTCGAAATGCCTTCATGTGGCCACGCGTGTACAGCCACTTTCACGGAAGTCATACTCACTGTCTTCTTGCGGCACCGATGTTGTTTCAACGAAATTAAGAAGACAAAAAGAGAATGTCCGGCGCTTTAACCGGGTTGGTAGACACAGAGGATCCACCTAGGGGAGTTGGAAAACCTTGATTCCAAACCAAGGGTGCACATGGGCTCCAGGATCCTGAGGAAACAAATGGCGTACGAACCTATTGTTGGTCACCGGATACCAAAGTGCTTCATCTCCCAACGTTAATTCACCATCTTGTGGATTAAGCCATTAGGTGAAAGACCCCTAAGGAACCGCTAGTTTCCCTAATTTAAATGATTCTTCAACTAAATTTTAAATGAAAGTTTTTCATACACATAGCTCCCTTGATCATCTTGAAGAGAGAACAATAAAAGATCCTAGTAGAATAGCACGACTTGATTTTTGTTTGATTCTCGTCAGCTACTTGCAACCTTATTTATTATTTATTTATTTAAACACATGGATATTGGTACAAGAGGGCACCGAACACATATGTGCCACACAAGTCACTCGATTTTGGTGTGGGCTGTGATAATATCCGGGTGCCCAGACAGCATATGGTTTTGTTAGTGAGTCACGTCCGGCGCCTTCTACCTAGAGGTCTGGTCCACAAGGTAGTGGATCAACGTCAGGAGATGCAGTCCTATGGTATCCGGTGACCAATAATTGGTTCATACGCCATTTGTTTCCTCAGGATCCTGGAGCCCATGTGCACCCTTGGTTTGGAATCAAGGTTTTCCAACTCCCCTAGGTGGATCCTCCGTGTCCGCCAACCCGGTTAAAGCGCCGGACATTCTGTTTTCGTCTTCTTGATTTCGTTGAAACAACACCGGTGCCGCGAGAAGACAGTGAGTAGAACTTCCGTGGAATTGGCTTTATACGCGTGGCTGTGTGAGAGCATTTGGAGAGGGAGAGCTAACTCTCTCCACCCTCGGCCGTACTAGGGCATTTGGGGGATTATTAAAAACAGTAATTACAAAATTGATTTAAATTACTCATATGAAAGAGTTTAGTTGGGAGTTATCTTGAAATAGTTTTACTGAATTATTGTACCTGTATTCTAGAGTTAATTTGTACTTTGCGATTCGAATCCAAGACTATTCACTTTAAACACTAACAAGATGAACTACTCAGCTACTGATCAAAATATCAGTAATGGGATAATGCAAACAATCATAGAAATAAACTCGACTATATATACTCTTTGGATAGTTAGAAATATTTCAAAAGAAAAAAGAAGTCAACAACTACATTTCATCAAACTAATGCTTGATATTGTTCATATTATCTAATTTACTTATTCACTAATGCTTTTTTGGAATAAATTCTTAAAAACTAAAAAAAATATTAATATTATCTATATACCAGTTGAATAAGTTAATGGCATTAATTGGATCTGTTTTAGTTTGAGTGAATAACAGATGTCTAAGCGTTTGAAATAAAAGTTACCGAGGTCATTTAAGCATTTTAGTGTGGGACATTGATAGAACAATGTTGGAATAACTAGATGATTAGTTCCACATTGGACAATTCCAATATGAATCACATATAATTAAATATATTATTAAAATATTCTTACAAAGTAAAACTGTTTACTAATGAAGAAATAAAAAACACAAACTACTTACAACAGTACCACGAAAATGTTTGACAACACCATTACCATTTGAATTTTGAGCAACTAAATCAGTAAATATCCAACCAACTGGTTGTAGACCAATTCGTTTAGCAACTTCCATGACATGTTTTGGTAAAACATTGTCGAGTGGACCGATTAATTTTACTGATTTCGGTGTGGATTCCTAAAAGTGATAATAACAAATTACGATAAATGTATTTTAAATAATCGGTAGATCTATTCTCAACAAACTTATTTATTTATTTAAACACGTAAACATCGGTATAAAGATATATATATATATATATATATATATATATATATATATATATACGCCACCTAGTAGAAACGAGATTGTGGAGATATAAAAAAGGATATCAGTATGATAACAAAGGAGCGAAAATGAATAAAAATTAGTGTACGATGGTGAAATAATCATGATAATAATAATAATAATAATAATAATAGGAGAAGCAGTTCGGTTACGAACAGTACAACTAGAATGGATTCTTTCAGTTGTAGAAGTTACTCTCATTTATACGAAGAAAGTAAAAGAAAATTACAGCAGGACCGCCACTGGCTTCTATTATTAGCCATATGTGACGTCTTAAACCACTGAGTTGCACTGTCTCTAGAACCATAACCATGGAGTTGTGAAAGATCAATAGAAACCGGTCCTCTGCAGTTTTCTTCCATACCAATGACATCATGTTATATAGGTAGTTAGATTTAGTATGGATAAATGTTTGAAAACTGGCTTAATGGAAACAGGGATAAAATTTCATATAGTATATGTAGTGATAACTAAGTCGATGTCACTCAATAAACAATTATACGTTTGTATCCAAGGTGTTCAGCTATCTTCAGAATTATAACAAGGTTATTTACGTAGCAGAGAGCTGTTTAAACCTAAGAACATATTATGAAATAAAAGTTAAATAATTGTATGAACGAATTTCTGATTATCATATGATAAACAATACGCTTATGGATAGACAATATGCAATGATAAATTTTAACTAAGGGATAGCTGCTCAAAAGCTTATTTTATTGACATAAGTCCCTGAGTGATTTAAAATCAATCACAAGACCAGTAGACTGATGAATAAGTTTTAATAACACAAATAATACATATTGATGGGTGATTGCATGGAATCAGTCTTGTAGGTCAATCACCAATCAATTAGAACTTTAGTCATCACATCAGATACGATAATCATAAATAAAGCGCACAAATCGCTAACCTACCGTTTCTTTTATATCAGATATAATGAATAGCTAGATGAATAAATTTGTATTTGATGAATGAATGGAAATGAAAAACATCTCTATGTAAAATTGTCTTATTTCGATCAGTAACTTAATAAAGGATCAACAAAGTAAGAGTGTATACAAGATTAACAATCATGCAATATTACAAAATGATTGAATTTGTAACTTAAAAATTCTTTAGATGGAGCGTAGTAATTCTAAGAGCACAAGATAAAAACCAAAACGGAATATCACTTAGATAATATATTTTAGAAAAAAACTATCTATTTTACTTGAGCTGGTTCATAAATTACAGCTACAACTGCTTTTATTGCTAATGGAGGTGAACCTGGTGCATTGAAATGAGCATATCGGCCAAGCATAATACCAATACGTTGACAACTAGTTTGTCGCCAATAATCCAAAAATGTATTCATTAATTGTGGATTTTCAAATTGTACAAAATCTACATGACGATATGGTTGAATTTCTAAAGTTACTGGATTCGGTTGACATTTAGTACAAATTCCATTAGGCCATGGAGGATGATCACGACAACCGGGACGAATATGACAACTTAAATTTTCTAAGGATGAAAATTTTCCTCTACAAATAAAAAGATTAATGAAAATAAATGATGTGTTACTTGGAAAACGCTTAATTAAATCTAAAAAATTTACTACTTATTAAATAGTATACAACTAGTTTAATTGAAAACGATGCGATAAAATATATAGCTCGTCGTCATATGACCATGCGTATACAGCCACTTCCACGGAAGTCCTACTCACTGCTTTCTCGAGGCGGGTCTGCTGTTTACGAAATTGAGAGGATGAAAATCGAATATTCGGAGCTTTAGCTGGGTCGGTGGACAAGGAGGGTCCACATAACGGAGTTGGAAAACACATAAATCAATGATAACTACTACCAGCCTCATAGTTATTGTGTGACGCATATGTATTTGGTGCCCCCTTGTACAAATGTTTACATGTTCAAATATATAAGTAAAATACTTATACATCCTAATACTGTAATCATTAATTTATTAAAGAATTTATATAATAATAATCTGTGTGTACACAGATGAAATAAACTTAAATTCCCATTATAACTTTGTTTTATAGATATTTAGGGATATGAGATTTCACGTTTAAGTAGATGTGATTAGTATCAGAAGAGGTTTTATGGAGATTGTAGTAATTTCAATAGTTGAGATCATGTGTGTGATGTGATTAATCTTACTGTAACATTATAGCAATGTTTTAAGGTAGAAGATCCAGTCAGTCAGTCAGTCAGTAACAACGTGGAACTTTGTACGTACGTACATCAGTTCGAGTTGCCATACCACAGTAGCACAGAGATTCAGTTATCGATTCAAATCCCATGGTGGTAGATGTACTAAAAGTATAAGTAGTGATAGGGAACATCAGGGTTTGAAGATGTTATTAAAGGAGTATAGTCCAGTGGAATAAATTGGGAAAGAAAATAAAGGACATGAAGAATTCAGAAGATTAGAGTTTGAGAGAACACAAAGAGTGGATGCACTTGCGCCATTGCAAACGATTTTGAGCCATGTCATTCAAGGTCTCTAACCATCGGTTGCTATCGTCTCGCGGTCCCCAACCAGGTAGTCTACACCTACCAACATGACTCAGTCCACTTGTCAGTGACTTCATGGATTTCTGCCATGTTTTGGTCTGGCCGCCTCTAGCTTTCTTCCAACCTACTCCTACACCATAAAACATAGCACGTCGGTGGTCGGGCATGCGCAACACATGTCCCAGCCATCTCAACTGATTAAGTTTCACTACTTCATCAATTGATTTGCCATCCTTACCTAGTACCCGTTTCATAACAACTGAGTTACTTACTCGGTGGTCCCAGGATATACGAGCAATGTTTCGAAGACATCTATGGTCAAATACTAGTAGCCTACGAATATCCTCTACTCTTACTGGCCATGTTTCACTGCCATAAAGTAGGACGGAACGAACTGCTGCGCAGTAAACACGTCCTTTGGTTGATAGACGGATATCTCGTCTACGCCACAAATGACGCAAGTTGGCAAAAGCTAGTCGAGCCTTTTGTATCCGTGCTGAGATTTCGTCACACACCAAACCACAAGGGCTGATGAGACTTCCGAGATAAGTGAAGCGGTCGACACGCTCAACTACTTCACTCCCTATCGCTAGTTTGGGTGTCGACGCAACCCAATCCTGAAGTAACATTTTGCATTTCGAGGGAGAGAATCGCATGCCGAACAGGCTTGCATTGTTGCTTAGAGTGGTCAGCAGACTCTGCATTCTGTCAGCGTCTTCACTAAATAGAACTATGTCATCGGCATATTCTAAGTCAACAAGTGGATCTCCCGGTAGAAGTTCAACTCCTGGAAATTTAGATGAGGAAAGTGTCATCTCTAAAAGGACGTCAACGACAAAGTTAAACAAGAATGGAGAGAGTGGACAGCCCTGACGAACACCACTTGAGGTAATCAATTCTGATGACAGTTCACCATAAGCTCTCACTCGACCAGTTGTGTTCGAGTAGAGAGCCTTTATAAGGTTGACGTACTTCTTTGGTACTCCCTTCAGTGACAAACATTGCCATAGAACCTTACGATCAACAGAGTCAAATGCCGCCTTAAGGTCAAGAAATACTACCATTGTGGGACGTCTGAATGTGTGTCTATGTTCTAGGACCTGACGTAATGTGAATATTTGATCAATACAACCACGTCCAGGTCGAAAACCAGCCTGGTTTTCTCTAGTCTGCTCTTCACGAGCTTTGGTTAGACGTCGAAGTATTATTGAAGCTAATATTTTAGACACTATATTAGTCAAACTAATTCCTCTGTGATTGTCACAGGAGGACTTTTGTCCTTTCTGATAGACTGGCACAATCAGTGATTGAGACCAGTCTGATGGGATTACGTCCAGTTCCCAGATTCTACCTAAGACATCAGTCAATCTCGCTGCTAATACTGGACCGCCATCCTTAAAAATCTCAGGGGTAAACCTGTCAGGGCCTGCTGCTCTCCCACGCTTCAGATTTCCTATAGCTTTTTCAACTTCGTGAAGAGTCGGAGGACTTACATCAACTTGCCATTCAGGTCGACTGGGGATCGTGGGAAACCGAAGTGTGGCTGAAGGCCAGTTGAACTGATCCCTAAAGTATTCTGCCCATCGATCCAATCTCCTGGATTGAGAATGAATAATATGTCCATCTTTCTCTGCGATTGTTTCGCTAACAGTTGGGTTCCTAATACCGGTTTCCTTAACAAGTATGAACAGTTGCCTGCTGTTACCTATTGCCGCCGTAGAAGATCCAAACGTCTATTGACATTATCCACAAGAATTATTTAATTCATGCTGGTAATCAATTCTTTAAAGGTATACCTTCAACGCTTTATCCACATACATGTTGACAATTATCCTTGAATATGTTTACTATGACGAAATATATAAAACCAGAAAATATGATTGATATACAATACTATTGTATTCTGTTGGTGACTAAGTTACCCTATGTGACACCTATCTTGAAAGTTTAATCAGCTCTCGTGAATTGGTCTGACGAAATTTCAGTGCAAATTTAGAAAATTCAGTTGGTTCTCGGTAACTTACGTTACTTGTAGTGTAGGTAAGATGTTCTTCTACCAACTAAAAATACGAGTATATTGTTCAGCAGTTCTGCTTTATCGTTACGAAATATAGATCCTAAAAATAGAGCATATTCATAGGTAGCTAATATTTCGTGTGAGTTGGGACCATCGAGTAAGCAGTTCAGAGGTTAAAGGCTATGTAATAAACAAAGATAATGAATCAAATGGCCAACTTGTGAATCTTCAACAACTGAAATGGTTAGAATATGTGTTACGTATCACCAAATGTCGGCTACTTTGGACGCGCTTTTTGCTAGTGTAGTCGTTTGGAAGAAAGCGAAAAATCAGACCAAAATGTAACATCAGCCTATGAAGTTAGTGACTGTCGGACTAAGTCGTATTGGCAGATGCAGACTACCTGGTTATGGTCTCTGCGATTATTGTAACCAGTAGTTGGAGATGTCAGGTGACATGACTCAATGTCTAACACAACGCCATATATGTATTCAATCCCTATCGTTCCTTAAATCTTGGGTCCTAAAATGATCTTATGCTTTTTATGCCACAAATTTATTATTTTTTGTTGAGTGATATCGTCTATTTTCAATTTTTTTACTATCCCTGATACTGTTTCTGCTTATATTACTCTTACATTTTTCTTGATAATTTCATCTGGGTGTGCTCATCTGATGTAGAAAATTCAACAGATACACATATGCGCCACGGCTCTATGTTGTTTGTGACGGATTGATAGAGTCCAGCATCCGACTTAAGCGACGTTTGGCTGTGACTGTAACTAATCAACTAACAAGACTGGTTAGATCAAAAAGGAAATGGTGATAAAAAGTACACAAATTAACGAATTCCGAATGATTTAAGATGAGATAAAAACGTGAGATCACGTTCCAAACCAGTATGATTCCTGTTCAACGTAAGGCTCATTCTGCGTTAACGTGATATTTATTAACTGTGATACTCTTTGTAATTATTTGGTGTGAACATTATGTCGTATGATAAGCAGTAAGAGGTTTTTGCAGCGATTTTGTGTAATACTTTTGTATTGCCTCGAATTCGGTCGTGTGTGATATTTGTGAGTAAAATCGATATTTAAAGGTGTATTTAGTTGAAGAGAGTGTTATGTTTTTGGACGGTGAATAAAATCTCTTACTGTCATCAGTCTTGGCTAATTTAAATATACGTCGTACGAATCAGTGAGTTTTTCCTTATTACAAGTATTATTTCCTTTAGAGTTATAACAAAATGAATCTAAATGATAGTATCAACCCCATTTCTTGTATATTATAATACTATCTTAATTTTCCTTTTTCATTGAAATACTTACTTTTTTATAATAATATGTTATGGATTTGCAACAAGTTACCTGATATTATCTGCTTTAAATCTCTATTTACTTCGTATATGTCTCCTTGATAATAACAACGTAGTTGAATACCAAAGCATTTGAAGAACGTACATTTCAAAGGTTCGATAATGTAAACGAACGATAAGAAATGTATGTGAAGTAGTGATGGAAACAGAAAGCTCAGTTTCATCAAGGATGATTCAATACTCACAGCCAGACAGAAAAACCGAGCTAAAGACATGTGACAAAGAGACCACGTAATAATCACAAACACACATACACCTATACACAACAATAAACGTTACAAGCGAATATGCAGAAAAATAAACTTACTTGCTCTGTCCACCAGTTAATTTACGTAGATATGCATGAAATGACATAAATTTCACTGGAGGATCTAAATGTTCCAAATAGGCTGAATCAAAAGGCTGCAAGTTACAAGGAGAAAAAATCACACTTTCATGTGACTACATGGATATCGTTACTAATGATTACACAGTGAACAGTATCAATGAGCCGTATACATTAGATCAATTATAAACCATGAACGAATGTAACATCAGATGATGGTAACAAACGTACGCTTATTGACGGGATTGTACACTGATGACTATCTCTGTATTGTATTGGACCATACAGATCAATATGGAGAGACATTTTTATATAACTTGAATTTTAAATACCAATATGATGTCAAATAATCAGATCTATCAGCCGAGACTTGTTATATCTGTACGTTATGGTACGAATATTGTAAAAGGTTATTAACGCGGTGAATGTTATTATAAGGCTACTAAATAATTATCGCTTACTGCACTCCTACATTATGGTTGACAGTGGCTGACCCCAATGTACTGCATTACTGGAAGCATAAAAATGATAGGTGGTAATACAACTATTCCACATAAGTGATGAAAAAAATTTATTCTATTTGTCACAGACAAGTTTATCGGCAAATATGTCTATCTCAGTCACACAAATAGAAAACAAGTGTGATCTTATGGGGAAAAAAAGCCTAATTACTAACTCTCTACAGCTTTTATACGTCCGTGAAGTTTCTTTTAAGGAAAACTGAGATTGAGACGTTCAACCAGAATTTATTCAATCTGCACGCAACTTTGTTTAACATGGAATGTTGTGAAGATAGTCTGATAGCCACTTGTAATGGAAAATTAATAATGAGACTTAAAGACTGAAGATGTCAAAATAGAATAGTATTTGCATCGCCAAACTCACTTAAATTAAGCTGTCAACAGTAGTATCACTGATAGCTTTTACCATAAAATTCAATTTCTATCAATACAGTAATACTCATTTTTAATCTACTTACGTATCGATCAGTTAGCGTGGTACTTTTAATCAGCATGTATCTGTTCAAATATGTTAGAAATTTTAACCATGATGCACACCAGTGGTTGTAGCACCATCACTAATCGTACATACACATTTATTGTACATTGAAAACCCAAGTAAATATACACTTTCAAATATAATATTTTAAAAGTGTATGGCTAGTGTTTGTTATCCTAGCGTTTCTACTATTACTTAACATAAATCAGTCAGTTACAAACGCTGCAGAACCTGAAAATAGGGTGTATCAGCTTGGGCTACGTCACGTCAGTACAACTAGATGAAAGTATCAAGATGAATAACAATTTGTCAGATAGAAAAAGAAAAGAATTAGGGATTGAGGATATAGATAAAAAAGAATGAATGAATTCGCAGAATCGGTATTAAAATTTAAAACTCAGTATCTAAAGGAAGAAAACGAATGAACAAATTTGCGCCATTGTGACCGATTTCGAGACACGGCACTCAATGTCTTCAACAGCTGGTTATGACAATCTCATGGAGTGTAACTAAAAAAAGCATTTTCACTTGACAAAGCTCTTCTATAACGGCGAGAAATTCTAGCGTCCATTTAGATACACTGAAAACTACAACTCCTATTTTTCGCTTATTAACCCTAGCTAATCTCAAAAACAAACAATAGAAAAAAGATTTATCGAACAAAACGAAAGGTGTTTGATTTAGAAAAACAGCAATGGTAATATATATATATATATATATATATATATATATATATATATATATATATATATATATATATATATATATATATATATTATAAATAGTGTTGAAATGGACACACTGAAAGAGTAATGAAACAATAAGGACAATGTGCATTAAGTTGTGATGAAAATGAATTATGACTACAGTGAGAAATGTCAAAGTAGAAGAAATTTGCATGTTAAAGAAACAAAATGGCGAAACGGATAGTAAGTTGTTTTGAATAAATTCAGATATTTTAAACAAAAAAAATCAAACTGAAATTTATGGCAGATATTTCACTTAAACATCTACTACTAACAAGTCCGTCTTAGTTGAAGAGATCCATTATGAACAATAAATGTATTGACAACTAGTTTAGATAGAAACCATTTAATTCAGGATGAGAAAACGAATAAAAAACTCAACTCATAATTGAGAATTAGAATTAAATTACCTCAAGGGGAACACAGTGGATACATTGCCCAGATAAAGGATGGTGACACCTAAAAGTCAAAGGAAAAACGTCTAAACAGTAACTTGGTAAATAGAAGAAAAGTTAAACATCCCGTAGAAAGACGTTTACAATGTTTTACAAGTTAAACGCTTACTACGAACACAACTTACACTAGCACCCGCAACTTCCAAACAGCGTTTTGCCGACATAGTTCAGTTCTTCTTTACTAATAAATCATATGGTAGGTAATTCAAGTAGACGAAACATATATTGACTACGTTTTTTTCATACTTTCTAGTCCTTTCTTAATAGTGACTTTTTACCTTTAGCCACTTCATAATATTGTCATTCAGTTCCATACAGAACGTTTTGAACCACGTCCCACCTACTTCGGTTTGACCAACTGGGCAGTATCATAAGCCCTTGGACTTACAGTTTGGTTCGTACCGAAATACCTGGTGAATGAACTATTTATGATCTTGGTCAATTATTTTATATAAAGCATCTTTTTCTACCGAGTAAATAAGATTGTTATTTCACACCGAAAAGCGGATAATACAATATCGTGTAAAAAATAACTCTTACAATTGTTCATTTCTTTTACGGTGAATACGACCATCCATTTTAGCCATTTCTTGATCAACTTTATCTTCTACTGGCGGTCCACAGGTAGACCAATTATTAGAACTGATTTGAGAGCTGGAATCATTTTGCTATAATCGTGAATTAAAAGTAAAACTCAAGTTAATATCTTAAATTTCGGCAGAAGAAAACTTGTGATCAAAGTAAACATGAAACCTGTTTTACGAAATAATCATTAAATTTTTTTACACTAACTAGAATCTATTAGCGATCAAGCGTATATACATTATATATATATATATATATATATAACAGGATTTACGCCATTTTAATCCATAGTCCTTACTCTGCAATGAATCGACTTTAGTGCTAGGTCATGGACAATTTATTCGGGAACCAGATGTCTAAGACATATACCATTATGCTGAGTAGTATTTATATAACTTGGTAAATCTGTTACGTTTTTTGGCTTCAGTTTCTCAGTCCTGTGATATTTTAAATTGTGCTCGCACATTAAGTAATTGATTAGTAAATATTAAGTGCTGCTTAGTCCCATTTATTTAAAATAGATTATTGATAGTTTTACATTAAGAACGTATAAAAACTAATGTATTTAGACATAGTTATGACCTTTGTTTGTTAAACGATAAGTTTTTAACTTCGGTATTTATATCTTTCGTCGCATAGAGCCATATCACCTTGTTATTCAGCTGTGAAACAGAATTCATGCAAAATTTGTAAAACTGACTAACAAGCAGGTTTACTCACATCGTAAGTACAGTGACCGCGCTTTAAAAATACACTAGATCTTTAAACATATTTGACTGCTGGAACGTCTAACGGTTTTTCATGCAAGCCGTTATGTAATTGCCAATAAAATGTTAATTTTGCTCACTAGCGTAGGAGTGCAATATGTAGCACTTAACACCAATGTGGTTAAACCATAAGATGGTGTGAGAATTTATCTAGACCTGGACTGTAGCAAATAGTTCTACCGCGTATTACCTAGAAGCTATGAAAATTTTCTAATAAGTGACGCGTAATAAGACTTTTTCCTGTGCATACATAGATTGTAAAGAAACATCGAGAAATAACAGGTGAACTGGTGTACATACGAGTGAACTTAAGTGTTTAATAAGCTACCATACATACACATACCCGTCCCATAAAATTTAACTGACATGAGTGTTCCTAGTGAGCATTAAATACTATTCTATGATGGAGTACTATGACAAAAAATGTAAAATACTGAGTTCGTACAAATAGACCGAAATCACTGGCACAATTTACTTGGTCTTTATTAGCAGCTACTTCGCCACCACTTGTGGCGTGATCCAAGAGAAAAAGAAGATCCCCGTGTCTAAAACGTAAGTAAGTGTCAATGATAAGAACTAGTACTTTAAACCTAATTTTGCTAAACGTGTATTCAGACTGGCATTTAAACGTTCCGACTGGCTATGAGATCGCGAAAGGCACCAACTATCATTCCGGCCAATGCCGAACTTTTCACACACTAAGCTTAAAAGTTTATCATAGCTCTCAGTTTCTGGTAATTCTATCCTTTTTATTCCGTTCGGAGATTGTACACGAATGATCATCAGGATTGATTTGCCGCACCAATTTATGGCTCATTATAAGCACAGATTCGTAATTTTTCACAAGAAGTTCTATTCAAGTTATCTTAGGTGTCCTTTTATTCATTTACCTTAAGAAAACCTCCGAAATCTATTTTTTAAAAAGACTGTCAATTTCTTTGATGAGTAAATTTTTATTGTTTACAGTCTTCAGTCTTAAGTAATAAGGATAGTAGGTTGATGAACCTGTGTTAATCCTGACAGATCGCCTTCCAGTGAAGGTCCAGCTTCTCCTTGAAAGCATTCACTGATTGAGTTGATACCACTTGTTCGGGTAAAGCATTCCAGTCATTGACTCCTCGATGAGGAAAACAGGACCCCTCTTTAAATTTATTAGATAGCGGTTTGCGAATTTCCTTGCTGTGGTCTCGAAGATTATTAGTGTTGGACGGAGTTTATTACATATCAAGACTACTGCTTCACTTTAATTGAGTTTATTTGAGTTAGGGTATCCGCTCAAAGTAGCGTTATTGCTTCCAAAGTAGTCAGTACCTTTGAGTACTTTGTTTTTATTATATTTGTCAGCACTTTTGGTTCTAATAATTTTCACATTTTCATCTCTTTGACCATAAATTACTTTTTTCTCCGAGTATTATTGCATCTTTTTTTCCCATACTTCCTTTTTACGGCTGGAAAGTTCAAAAAAACCATTGCCAACCCCGTTGAAAGCGGCATGCTGTGCGACAAGCGCGAAGTCTGGTACCACGAAGTTTGCACGAATTTAATGCCTGCGGCTTCCAAAAAGTTTAGCGAAAATGGTTGCAGGTGGCATTGTCAGCAGTGCTGCTCGGAGATAAACAGCTTGCTAACCGATGCCATTTCCATGGTAAATGCTTCTAAAAAGTGCATTGGCAAATGAGGTCGAGACACAACGAAGAGTACTCGCTCTGTTGGCACACAACTCGATGTAAAACCACCTCAAGTGATCTCGGAAACAACTGACTCACACTGATCAAACGAGGAAAGGCTGACTAATCAGTCTGTTCTAAATAAAAACTCAAGAAAGGAAGTTTCCTTTGTCCTCCGTACTTTAAATGGTATCTGGGAGGAAACGCCTAAGAACCACAGCCGCAAAGCTAGTTTTTTTCCGGGAGGAAACTCAACTTGACTTCCCAAGTCATCGATATTCTTTCGGAATCCAGTGTCTTTGACGCGACTGTGGCTGCTTCTCCAACGAAAGTTAGGTACAGGTCGTGAAAAAAACGAAATAACGAAAAAAAATATACAACCCTCCGAAAAGTAGTCGAGAAGTTAAAGACTGACCACAGTGACATGTCACTTACCTTTCATAGAACTAAGGAGAGTGAAAGCTGAAACTTCTTTTTGAGCATGACATTGGCTGGATAAAACAGCTACTAAATCAGCTCATACCATAGGATTAAATCTCCTAATGAACGGTACTTAATATTACAGAATGGACATAAACGAAGTAGGTCAAAAATTTTTGTCCGTAAGGACTTGCCACTCACAGACCGCCCAAAAGCTGAAAAAGAACTCCAAATTAGGCTACACACTGGCGATAAGGTTCTAAAAATTGTAAATTTTCGAGTTGTGAGACTTCGACAGAAAATTATACCGAAGCCACTCTGAGTGCGCCACGAAGCCATTTATATAGGCTTCGGATTTGTCACACTAATGCCCAAAGCTTGCTTAATAAGAGATCAGAACTAGGTGTACAGTTTAACTCTGGCAAGCCAGATACAATCGCAGTCACAGAAACTTGGCTGACGCAGCCTATAGATAGTATGGAATTCGATTTTGAAGGTTTTACGTTGCTAAGAGCCGACAGAATTCAGAAGCATGAAGAAGGGTAGTGATCGTTGTCTAATTCTAGGAGACTTTAATGCATCCACTGTAGAGTTGAAAGACCTGAGAACTGAATTGTCAGAAAATTCCTTCAAGCATGAACCAGTTGTTGCGTTATCACATGTGCTCTAGTGCGACATGTGAAAGAAGCAGCAAGGTACGATCCAGAATCTGAATCATCCCTACTATATCTTATATTGGCCTATTATGAGAATGACGTCACGAACCTCGATTACATGCCACTTCTAGATAAAAATGGTCATGCAGTTCTAAACTTCTATTTCCATATGATTGTCAAACACGAGCACGCGTCAGCTCAATCCAGACCTAAAGTCTGGAAAGCAAATATACAAGGTATTATACTCTCAGCATCGTCAGTAGATCGGACAATAGAGCAATAGTCCTCAGTTGAAACGGTTGAGACGTATTTTGAAATTTATACTTAAAAGCTACTGCACCCCATATCACTTGAACTACACAAAGAGAGCGGAGAAACTCTCCACCATAGTTCAGAAGAGAGGTTCGCATCCTTCCCGTAAGAGGAGAAAAATGTGGGATACATTTAGGTGATTGGGTACTGATGAGACAAAATCTCGACATCGAGATGCTCGGAATACTTGCATCTGTGCCCTCCGGAAGTCTAGAAGGTTGTACGCACAAAATATTGACCTTGCCTGTAAACTGACATGGCTCATGTAACAGACTGTTATTTGAGAATAAATTATTATTATTAATATTGTAATTAAAAATCTATAGAGTGCCCTAAATGCTTGTATTCGTGCATAAACTAAATGGATAAACGAAGAGGAAATATCCCAGCACTATGGGGAGACAGTACTGCCTCATCATTAGTCGAGGACGACTACGGTACAGCTCAAGTATTCTCAAACTAGCAATGTATATACAGTACAAACATCCTTCTCGTCAGTCCATACAAATCCCGTCACACAAACACTGTACAACGTGACCTTTCAAGAACTCGATATCTTTGGTCTGCTAAATGAGCTAGACATAGGCGAATCCACGCGACCCGATGAACTACATCCTAGGTTACTAACGGAACTAGATAACTTCGTTGCGAACCCTTTAAGTATGTGCTTTAATCTATCCGTAACAGAGGGTCGTTTATCAAAAGACTGGAAGAAAACCATAGTAAGTCCTGTCTTTAAAACATGTACGAAACATAAACCTCAGAATTACAAACCCGTTAGCCTAACTAGTGTGGTTGTTAAAATCTTAGAAAGGGTTATTCTGAAGGAGCTGTTTAAGTATCTCAATGAGAACCGGATCCTTTTGGAGAAGCAGCATGGTTTTAGAATGTATTATTTCTGTCTCACTAACCTACTAGTGGCTGGTGCGCTCCTAAAGGCCAAAAGCTACTTATAGATGTAGCCTGCATTGAATTTAGCAAAGCTTTTGACTAAGTTCCAACAACCGGCTGTTATATAAGTTGGGAAACGTCGGGGTAGGAGATAATCTATTGATGTGGATAAAAAAGTACGGATGAACTCCAAGTTGCCTGACTGTGAAACTGTACATAACCGAGTGCCTCAGGGCATAGTTTTGGGGCCAGTGTTATTCCTATTGTATGTGAATGACCTTTCTCGTCTCCCATCATCGGTCTTGCTATATGCTGGCGATGTCAAATTTTGGAGAGCGGTAAGAAATAAAGGTGATAGCTTAGAACTTCAAAATGATCAGGAGAAATTATCTGAATGGTTTTAAACCTGGTACTTGCTGATAAACATTTCCAAATGTATTATGATGCATATTGGTCATCACGGTACAGATACATACTTGATTGGTAACATTAAGCTTCCTGTTGTCCAGATACGCTGACTTATGAGTAATTATTTGGTAAGGCTTAAAAACTACTACACACTGACGTGAGATAGCCGCCAAAGTTTTAAAAACCCTATGGTAAATACGTAGGGCCTTCATCATGTAGACGCTGAAACATTTTTGACTTTGTATACAGTATTCATGCGTCCTAAACTTGAGTACTGCACACAACGGCCGGCCCATGCTTAAAAACGGTTTAAGCTTTTGAAAAGGGTTCAGAGTACAGTAACTAATCTGATTCCCAGAATGGTGAAGCTCCCCTATGATGCTCGACTGGCTAAGCTAAATCTATCACTGTTTTTATCCTTGGGGAAATACTACATAGTACCACGACTTCTTTTTACGGTTATACTTACGTACTTACAGTTAGTCTTTTACTCATAGATATAACTAGAATTCGACATTTACGAACAGAAGCTGTCAACGTCACTGCCTAACTTTACACTTTAAGACAATTGAAGTACAAACATCGGCATCACTTGATAATACACTTATTGTACTTTCATTAGTTTTGCGGCAAAATTGATATTTCTTAACTGAAGGATTCAATCACTTTTCAAAGCTATCTACTTTCCGATCAGATACTGCCGTCTCCTTACCATTTGTATTACAGATCGGCAATACTCATCAGATTCATATTGGTTGTTCGGCAGCCTCCGGTGCGCGACTACTCCCAACATGTTTGGTACCGATTGAAACGGTCAATGAATCTGGTGGGGGAGTATTGTATGTTCAGTGTGGTCTCACTGGGCCCTAGCCAAATCATCCGGTAGTTGGGTCACTGAATACTGAACAGCTCAGTGATCCCCTTCTAGGCCAAGCATAATCAATGCGCATCAGCTGTACGTCATGTACTGGCTCATGTGTCAGTGGTCACAACCTCTTTCTCCTGTACCTACGTTTACTAATATATGCCTGTAACGCTTCTCGACATATCGATAGATATCCTAAAATACATTCGAACCCCATCATTGCTTATCTCTGATTCAACTGGGTTTATATACTTCGATTATGGTGTCGCTCGTAAAATCGGTGTCCAACTCCGGGTACTTGTGTTATCTTTTTGCTTGATAATTAAGTTTACGAGATGTAGAAATCCGAGCCGCTTGATGACATCGCTACAAAAGAGCGTAACCTCACTAAGATAATAGTTCAATAGGTATTTGTTCTGATTCATAACATCAGTGTTAATGTTGGTGATGCTGTTTTTTGAATGTATTTGTGTTTCATTGCTAGGATTAGGTCTATGTGTGATGTTCGTTATTGGTGTGCAATAGATATGCCTATGAGGTAAACTTGACGCCGTGGCTGCGTGCCTACCGGTTGTTTTCATGTTCATTCGTG